GTGGTTTCCGTTCCTGGTTCCTGAGAGTGCATTTTCTGTTTTTGATATTTCCAGTATTTTGACCTTGGCTTTTCCTATTTATTCTGATTTCTGGTTTCCCTGACTTGGCTTGTTAAACGGTATTGTATATTTACTGGCTTCCTTGACCTCGGCTATCCCTTGACCATTCTCTGTCTTTAGCATATTAGTCCGGCCATTCTAAGGACCGGTTTACGTTCTATTATTTTCTGATCTGTCTATGTAGATGTTACATAGTTCTGCTGGACCTCACTAGCAGTCATGACAGCCTGTCTTCCACCTTCCTCCCCACACCCTGTCTATCATGGTGTGCAGTACAGGGAAATGTAATGAATAATATGAGTGCCTGTTACTATTTGTGTTTCACTGTGTGTATGTGACAGTTTACTGTGTGTATTTGTAAGACTGTGTATATAACTGTCTACTTTGTGTAAGTGATTGGGTAAGTATATGACTGAAGGTGACTGTGTGTAATTATGCACATTGTAAAGATGTATGTCTTTGTATGTGACTGTGTGTGTCTAAATGACTGTGCATATGATTGTGTGTCTATGTATGGGATTTTTCATATATCCATGTGTGTAAGAGACTGCATGCCTGATTGCAAGTCTATGTATATATGCATGTGACTGAAGGTATGTGGGTAGAGAGACACACAATAAATAAACATAAGTTAAAAGATGCATAAGAGAGGGTAGAAGACAATATATATTTCTTAAGCGAGGTTTGACCTAACTACAATAATTAACTAAAAAAGAGAATGCACACCAGAAACCATACAGAATCTCTATCTTGGTTTAATAAGTCACTATTTGATTTACAATTGTAATACAACAATAAGTGAAAGTATTTAGGCTAAACATAATAATCAACAATAATTATTTATCAAAATTCACAAATCTAATAGGGCAGAAACAGGGACCTTTGGACTGTTTTGTCTTTAAATTTAAAATTCACTTGAATTCCAGGCAATTCTAATTTTTTTACATGGTTGGATGAGTTAGTGTGGCTGTTTTTCACACAAGGGGACCTAAAGTTCCCTATGTATGAATTTGTGTATATTGGCTGTATATTCCCTTAATGACTGTGGACGTACAAGATACATCAAACAAAAAACGGTACTTAACAACCGGTGATGTAACCTGTATGTCCGCGGCGAATTAGAGCGCTGGACGTGATCATGATCGCTTCCAGATGTTCTAAGGGTGTTGCAGTGATGCTGTTGGGTCGGTTAGGCTTGAACCCAGCCGAATATTCAGGTCACTCATTTAGAATAGGAAATCCACGGCTTACATCAGATACATTCCTCAGCCAGTACAAGAGGTGCACCTAGCATTTAAGAATATGATTATGTGATATCCTATTGTGTAGGCTGAATAAACTGGTTACATCTTTTTGCCCTCTTTTATTTCAGGCCTACTACCTCGTCAGTTCCGGCACACCACAACTGACTTTTCCATCCCCTGTTTGTTTTATGTTACCAACGCTACGGCTTTGTGCCCTGACCACAAATGGAAGGCAGGGCCTGAAGTTGTGGGAGGGGCTTGGTTCCCCTTCTTAAGGAGCACCAGCCCTTCCCTCACTACCGTCTTAGGTCTGGTGATTTGTCCCACCCACCACACCTCCTTTTATAAGCATTTCATGAGGTAGGCCCTCTTTTATTTCAGGCCTACTACCTCGTCAGTTCCGACACACCACAACTGACTTTTCCACTTTTGTGCCCTGACCACAAATATATATATATATATATATATATATATCATATACAACGTCATATGAAGTATATTTTTTTTATTAATATATACATATATTAATATAAAATACACAAAGTAAGATTGAACACATATATATTATAAAAATAAATAAAAGTTTGAAAAATTATTTTAAAAAAAATAATTATATATGTAACTTTATTCTAAATGTATTTTGATAATAATATATTTATAAATATCAAAATAAGCTTAGAATGAAATTTTATATATAAATAATAAATAAATACAAAAAATATGTCCATATACATAATTACATAAATAATTTCATAAATATACATATTCTACATACACCCTGTTCTAAATTATTATGCAAATTATATTTTTCTCAGTTATCTAAATAATTGATGTAAATAATAGTCAGCATAATTCTCATGTTATCAACTATTCGGAGTACAATTCAAATTTTATTGAACAAACCTCCTAATGATAACAGTATTTTTTTTAAAACATAAAAAACTTACAATGCACTGTTCCAAATTATTATGCACAGTAAGTTTCAAAACACTTTATAGGTTGTAAAAAATTGTCATTTGTTGTGTTTGCAGCATATTTACTGAAATAAAAAGCTATTTCAATCAAACTTATAACAACATTTTAACTTTTTAAACATTTTAACAGGTCACGTTACATTTTAACATAGGACCCCTTATTTGATAGCAGCTTCACAAGTCTTGCATCCATTGAACTTGTGAGTTTTTGGACAGTTTCTGCTTGAATTTGTTTGCAAGATGTCAGAATAGCCTCCCATAGCTGCTGTTTGGATGTAAACTGCCTCCCACCCTCATAGAGCTTTTGCTTGAGGATTCTCCAAAGATTCTCAATAGGATTGAGGTCAGGGGAGGATGGAGGCCACACCATGACTTTCTCTTCTTTTATCCCCATAGTAGCCATTGATGCAGAGGTATTCTTTGCAACATGAGATGGGGCATTGTCAAGCATGATGATGATTTTATTACGTAAAGCATAGTTCTTCCTTCTGTACTAGGGAAGAAAGTGGTCAGTCAGAAATTCCACGTACTTTTCATCTTTACACCTTCGGGGACCCTAAAGGGGCCGACCAGCTCTCTTCCCATGATTCTGGCCCAAAACATTGCTGACACCGCCACCTTGCTGACGTCGCAGCCTTATTGGAACAGGGTGGGGATAGTTATTACATCTGACTATCCCCAAAGGCATATAAATGATGCCTGTGTGAAACATTTCCTTGAACCCTGACACCAGGAATTCCACCAGATGGGGTGAGGGGTGGTAGCATAATCTTCCCCCAGCTTACCTACTCCACTCTGTTGCTCAGAAAACATTATGGGACTCAAACACAAACAATCAGAGCCATATGTATTGGACTTCCGCTACACCCTACTTCCTGAGATATCGGAGAAATCCTGTAGCGATCGCAGGCACAGAAGATCATGGCTAACGACTACCACTGAAAGGGTGGACGCCATAGAGGACCAACCGGGCTATACAAACTGAAGATCTGGGGCATCCTGGACTTGGTAAGCCTTCCTGATGTGCCTCACTATATCCGACAGCTAATAGCCCAACCATCAAAGCAAGCCAATGCAGTGAAGCTTGACGCTATGTTCCGCTTGACAAAAACCAAGGACAACATCTGCGAGCGCACACTCTGACCTCATAGTCAGAGTGTGCATTTTTCTGGATTTTTTTTTCTTATTCTGTCCTTCACTGTTAAAATACACCTTCCATTAAAATTATAGACTGATCATTTCTTTGTCAGTGACCAAACGTTCAAAATCAGCAAGGGATCAAATACTTTTTTCCCTCACTGTAGGTCTGTTACAGGTAGAAAACATGTCTAACTACATACAATATAAAGGTATGGGGATCATCTTGTGTAAAGGGAAGAAGAGAGGAAAAGGAAGAAAAGAAGGGGGTAATAAAAGGAAAAATAGAAGAGAAAAGTGGAAGAAGATTTTCTTTTCCTTTTATTCAAAAGATTATCTCACATAATGTTAAACAAATTTTAAAATATTTCAATGTATGTACCTTATTGTTGTGCTGTATGTACTAATATAATTTTAAAACTCTCACTAAAAAACAATAGGTTGCACATTTTTACCAGTAAACCAGAATTTTATGTAATTAAGAATTTCTTATAGTTCCCTTCTACTTACAATTATGTGGTTAAGTACATAATTGTATCATTGCAAACTTATAAAATGGTTCACCACAGGAAAGGTCAGAGTACTTGTTCTGCACAATTGAACTTTTGTCTTTATAAATAATAGTGCTGGCATTTTTATATAATACATGTTCTTTGGTTTAACCTATCCCCAGTACAAGGTAGTCATTGCTAAGACTATTGTCAGATAGTAGCACATTCTTCACAATGTTTCCTTGTATAGGAATTCAACATGAATAATTAAGGCTACATATATTTTATATTAACCTCAAATTACAAACGAAAATAAGCATGCAATATGCTTGGATTTAATCTAAATGAGGAATGACAAACATTCCACCATGGGCTGAATGATCTGTTGAGCAAATGAATCTGGTCTGCATCCTAGCTGTGCATTTTAACTTCTTATTTGCCTAATTCTTCAACCTGTGCTGAACTGTGGCTGCATTAGCAAATCTTTGGTGGAACTAATGCAGCAAGAACAAACATGTACATTTATAAAGAAGGGACATATTTACTGTAGCATTGGTTAAAGAAAGTTCTCAAAACACATCAATACTGAGAATGTCAGGGTTTTTTTCAGTTTTTTTTAACATAAATTCTCTCTCTTACTTTGCCAGAAGTAGTTATCTCAAGAAAAAATTTTTTTGGTATATACTTTTGTTATGACTTTTTTAAGGACATTATTTGAAAAAAAAACAACTAAATAATGTTTAATAATTCATGGAATGCTATCATAATTATATTCTCTAAAGTATAAGGTTATATTTCATGTATGTCAAAAATGTTTTCTGTCCCCCTAACTATGTATATGATTTTGAATGGGTATAGGATTTCCTTCAAATTTTTGGGATTATTTCCCTTTTTTTAAAGAAAACTTCAGTAAAAGCAATTTGAAAAGAAGTGGAATCTCCTTAGTGTAAAATCTTCCAACAATTATACTTGAGGCACACTGAGAATAATAAAAAAAAAACACTATTAAATAGTACAAGACAAGCATATAGACTGCAAAATACTTTGTAATTATAGCCTCTTTGTTGGGTAACATGTTGGGTGGGTCTTTATCTTCCAATGGACTTTTTTTCAAGGGCATATGTTTCCTCACACTTATTCTCAGATAAAACTTTTTCCAAGTTTTTTTTTTTTTTTATATCCATGAAACTTGGAAAAACTTTTATCTGAGAACAAGTGTGAGGAAACATATGCCCTTGAAAAAAGTCCATTGGAAGATAAAGACCCACCCAACATGTTACCCAACAAAGAGGCTATAATTACAAAGTATTATGCAGTCTATATGCTTGTCTTGTACTATTTAATAGACTTGTTCTATTTGTATTCCTTACCAATTCAAAATACAAATAATTTTAGAAACATTGTGCTATACTAGCACAGACAATGCTGGGTCTGCCTAATGGGTTTTAAAGAATCACTTCAGATGAAGATTGGTTGTTAGGATTTATGGGGTGTGTCTTTCCCATTTCTGTCTCATGCCCATCCTTCTTAGACTAAGTGCAGTTGTTATTATTAGTTGATACCAGCAGTATTTAAGTGCACCTTCTTTACTCTATCAATACAGATCCAAACCCTGGTATTAAGCCTATGTGAGAGATTTTGAATTGATATAGTTATATGGTCATATACCCATCTAATTTACACATCAAAGCAGTAATCATTTTTTTGGCACAAACAAAATACTGGTCACTGCTCGCCTCTTATTCTTTTAGACCTCTTTGCTCTGTTGGACCTCTATTGATACTGTAGATCATGTGCTTTCTTCAAATGTATCATATTTACCTTTATTACACAATCCTCACCTCTTACTCTTTCTTACAGCCTATTCCACTGGAATACTGCAATAATAATTTCTAGGTACCTTGATATTTCTTTAATGCATCCCCCAAGTGTTGATTTGTGACCCCTTTCTTCTGTCCAATCAAAAACAGAATTCCAGAGGAACATCCAAAGCCTAGCTTGAGTTCAATATATGACCACATTTGCAAATATAGAATAATATCTGCAGGCACTCTGGCATGACTAGGCAACTGGTCAGCCAACAACATGTATTATTATAATTAATATTTATATAGCACTAACAATTTTTGGAAAGCTTTACAATCATGGAATGGGGATAACAGACATACATAATAGTAACAAGAAGTGAAGAAGGCTCTGCTTAAAAGTGCTTACAATCTACGAGGAAGGGGTATAGACACACAAGAGGAATAACGGCATGTCAGAGGGGAGTAAGGACTGATGGATGGATGCCTGTGTCAAAATAAGCTAGTTGGAGTAGTGTGCAGAAGAACTGGACAGTGGGAGGAGGGAGAGTAATCTGGGCTATGGAGGTGAAGGAACTAAGAAGAATGGGGAGAGGAGGAACTTAATGTTACAGAAAGCCAATATAATGATGAGGTGAGGTGTGGGAGTAGTGGTCAGTCAGAAAGATGAGCCTGGCAGCAATATTCATTACAGACTGAAGGAGTCCCCATTGAGAGTTTCTTTTACGCAATTTCTTCTCTATCACTTTTCCCTTTAACAGACTTTTTTTTTTTTAAATAACGTTTTTCATGTGTCATTTGGAAATTGTCTATGCTTCCCATTATCCACTAGCTTAATTTTTTATTACAGTCTCTCCACTACTCTCAGTTTCCCGCCTTTTTTTCTATCTTTTTTATCTCTAAGACTATACAAGATGGATCTCCTGTTCTATGTTTTCTTATTGCTCTTTCCCTCAATCTCTACCGGTATCTACCCTGCTGTTTCTTGTTGTGGGCTCTTTGTTTGTGGTGGGGATACAATATATTGGACATAAGGTAGTATGTATGTGATAGGACTAGTGTGTGCATCGTGGGTTAAATGTGTGTACTTGCAGCTGTGTGGAGCTTTTTGTATGATGGGAGCTGAGCACAGTACACCTCAAACATAGGCATGCGTATTTACATAACAATATGAAAAAATGCATAAGCCCCCAAAAAAGTACTTTTGAAGCACCATATGTGCTTCCTTTTGGATTCACTTTTAACAGAAACATAGCCCCATCACTCTACAGTTCCTATGTGTTACTATTGAAAGTGCAGCTTGCTAAGGCTATAGGTCAGTGGGTTTGCTTCACAACAAATTTCTAGAGTGCTCCTAGTGACCAGCATGGATTTCTTTCCTTGATGTCAGCCTACGGTGAATGGGTATGGTGGTGGATGTGAGGATATCCAGCCTTAGCAGAATGTTAGGCTGGGAATGTCTCTGTAGGGGAGCAATGCTATCAATCTTTCCTGCTCAGAAAACATTGCAGGCAATCAGATGAATCATATGAAATTGGTTGGGAAATCAGGCAGGCACCAATCTGCACTTTGGTTTATGATCAGTGGCAGAACTGCTAACATAACCAAAGTTCTGCATCAGGGTTTCTTTGTAGGTTGGCACTATTCTGCATACATCTTACATCTTATACTAAAAGGCACCATTCAAATAGCCAGCACAAAGGTGGGAACCTTACGTGAGCTTTGCAGGAAGTCAGCTGGACATTTCCATTGTAGTGTGAGGCCCAGCCAACTCTCGAGACAGAAGAGCTTTCCACCCACCATCTATTAAAGAATGTCAACATATGATGAAACTCTACTTTACCATGCTGGAAAAATTTTGTAAATAGCAAAGAGGACAATCTAGAGACTAACTTCCACCATTCCATTGGCATTGACTCCAATACAATAAGGCCAGCTGGTGTCAGCAAATACTACCTAAGGATGTGGCAGAATCATTGAACCACAGTAATGCAAATTTGGAACAGGTCATCCCTTTGTTTACCCACCACATCAACAAGATGGATATAGCAACGGTGGTCAGGAAGCTGAAAGATCTTCTCAATCTCATCTGAGGGAACACATGGCTTATTGCTTGATGCTTCCCTGTGTGATCCTAGGATAAAATGGAAATGGTACTCTGATCCAACAGCATGAATAACTGGAGGGACAGACTTGTCAACATGGTGTAAAGAGAGGCAGGTTGGTAGACGAAAGCTGTACCTCCCATATTGTCATTGTGTGAGGTGTTAAGGTAGATTTAGGAACACAAAAGGGTTAAATAATGAGTTAGTATCTGTTTAAGAAAATCCTCATTAGACTAATGATTAGTTATAAGAGTTTTCTTAGAGTCTGCAGTTAAGTGAAGAAGCCAATGCAATTTTAGCTTAGTTAATCTGAGAGAATTTTCAAAATTAACTTGAAAAACAGCTGTTCCTTTAGAAAATAAAGAAGTAAAGTCCTTTAGCTAGTCAAGGAGTAAGTCCAGCAAACAAAATAATATAGAGGCACTCTTCATAAATATTTGCAGTTTCCATAGAACAGACTTCTTATAAGTGATTACGTTGTGAGGACTTTCACATCTTGATAGGTTTCAAATTTGGACTGAGAAGATTAATCCTCTGAGAAAGGTTGTTAGCAATCCAGGTTCAGGGGTCAGGAGAGGTCAGCAAGGTAGTTAGTACAATGCAGGTATTGGTACACAGAATCAATAAGGAATGTCCAGTGAGAATGGTCAAGGTTAATCCGGGTCAATGGAGCAGGAGAGGTCAGCAAAGTTGGTCGTTCAAAGCAGGAATCGGTACACGGTAACAATGAGGTGAGAGCTAAGTCGGCCAGTTTTGTATGAGTAGAAACAAAATAACTCAGCGTTTCAATATTGGCACGACTTCCCTATAAGGATTCATTGGGTGCAGAGACTCAGATCAGCAAAACCCAGAAGGAACTGTGAGGTATCGCGGATTGATCATTCCTGACACATTGTCTGTTATGTCCAGCAGTTGTACTGGCATCACAACTCTAATGAAGCAGAGTGTAGCAATGGCTGTTTGGGCTGTGGCTTTTCAAAGTTTAGACAGTCAGCAAGCAGCTAAAAGGAGTCTATTAAAGCTTCTGAAATAGTCACAGCTTACATTTGTGAACATGCTTTGCATCTTAGTGAGGGCTTTATGAGCTACTGGGATGAGAAGAAAAGTGTGTGAATATTTTCAATCTCCAACACAATCTCCAATCTCCAACACAGCAAATAGCTGTCGTCAAGTTTAAAAGTTGTTTTTAAATGTATAAAAGTGTGCTGCTGCTGCTCTCAGTTTTTTCAGATGCCTTTCAATGTAATGGTTTTGACAGTGTGATTATATTGGTTACCTCCCAGATGCAAATGGTATAAACTTGGCGCTTTTTTTCCCCCACACTGAAGCACGTTCACCGACGCTACAGACTGGATGTGCAATAAAGCTTTGTTCTTGTCAGGTTAAAAAGAGTGAGTGGATGGTCAATTTCCCAATTACTTTCCATTCATTTTTGGATAAATCCCCAAATTTCATCTAAAAGGAGTCATGCTTCCCATTTTTCATAAATATAAGATTACATTTATTCATTATAAAGCTCTAGATATATAATAATTAAATTCTGACGTTGCAGAAATGGCTCATATTACATTGCCATCAAGTCAGTTAATGTTTTAGCTGTTTTTGCATGTACAGTTAGGCACCATTTTTTCACTTTTTGGCTTCCCTGAATTGCTTCCCAATTTCTTGTTGGTACAGAAATTCTGATGAGCTGAACCCTGGCATGGACTCAATTCTGCTACCCTAATGTGTGTTTGTTTTTCCCAGCTGAAGTGGTTAGGAAGAACCACATTGTTTTACTGTTCACAAGTTTAGCTATAGTTTTGCCCATGTTTAGTTACCTTTACCTAACTCAGGTTTTCTTTTGGGCAGTGCACATTCTAGATGTCTGGATAGGCCAAATGTTATAAGTTATAAAATCAATTATCTAAAGAAACATTGTAATGTTAAAATTAATTAAATTATTAATTTATACATTTTTTTCCTACGTTTGAGATGCATTCATGAATATGCAATCATAAGTAATTCCAAGTGGTAAAGAATGAAAAACAAAACATACTTTAAAAAAATCACAGTTTTTTAGTGATTGATATCGATAATAAAATAAAAATGCAATATAGAAAGTCAATATATTTGTGATATTGACATGCTAGATTTAATAAAACCATATACAAATTAGTGCATTTGAGAATATAGCACTATAATAAAGCTATTGATAGTATGAAATTACTTGCTAAAATATGCAGGTTGAAGGTAAATTGAATGGAAAGCTCTCTGCAGCTTAAGCCACATTCAATTTATTCTTTTACTCAAATAACCAAATTCATATTTTATGATGGCTACTTATGACAAAATCTATATTTAA